TTTCCACGTAAGAGTCTGAAAGTGACGATTGTGCAATAACAATTCATACAAAAGACGAATTTAACCTCAGAAAACTTTCTTAAACCACTTACCAACTATGTATTGGGTCAATTCTTCTGGAATAACAGGTTGTTTCGTTTTACATAAACTAATATATTTTCGAATTAAATTCATATCCAAAGCTTGCGATTCCATTGGTGGTTGTATACAATACTGATGAACATAAGTTATGTGTTGTGCCAACCTAAACAAAAATATACTCATTCAATCATTCTATAATATACACATATTTTAACATATATTTCAACATATACTAACTTTAAATCGTTACTACGATCTGCTCGATCTTGAATTAACCATAATAAATCAAATCGCGATAATAAAGCAGCAGGTAATTGAACATTTTGTTCGATTGTTCTCTTTGGATTGTATCTACCATAGGCAGGATTTGCCGCGGCTAATATCGAAACCCTTGCGTTTAAACGCGTTGTAATTCCTGCTTTGGCAATCGATATAGTTTGTTGTTCCATCACCTCATGAATTGCGGATCGATCTTCATCTGCCATCTTATCGAATTCATCGATGCAACAAACACCTTCATCGGCTAGTACCAGTGCTCCTCCTTCGAGCATCATTTGACCAGTTAAAGCATCTTTCATAACCGAAGCAGTTAAACCTACTCCGGATGATCCTCTACCAGTTGTGTATTGAGATCGAGGAGCTAATCTCGTTATAAATGAAAGTAACTGAGATTTAGCAACTCCTGGATCACCCATTAAGCAAATATTGATGTTACCTGCAAAACATAAACAAAATAAAGTAAAACGGAACAAAATAATGCATGTCAAATGTTACATTTCTGTGTGTCTTTATAAAAAATATACCTCTGATTTTAATATCGTCTTTACGCTTGTCTGTTCCACCAACCAATAATAGCAATAGTGCTTTTTTAACATCTTCAAGCCCATAAATTTCTGGAGCTATGGAATGAGCCAATTTTCCATAAAAATCATCCTCCATTAATAAAGACATTTCTTCCTCTGTTAATTCAGTATTACTATCATCGACACTTTGAGAATTAGTCAGACAAGTAATTTTCTAAATCGTAAATACATATGTTTAATTATAATGAATATTAAAAATACATTATAACGTTATTAAAATGATCAACTTCATACATGTGCATCTATGTATGTTTCGCTTAGAAGAGCTGCACCCAGTCGAGCGGTAAAACCAGATTTTACGATAGGTAAAAAAATACCCGTAATAAGTACATGATCTCCAGGTGAACACTTTCTTGTTGTTTCACCTCTGCAATATATTGTTAATGTTCTTGGAATATGACCTACGGGAACTTGGTCACTCTGAAATAATTATATTAATTAGTAATTTAATTATTATAATGTCTTCATTAATATGTAAATCTTGTACACATATAAAACCTACATGTTCTTGTATTTTCAATTCTTGAAATTTAACAAATTTTGATCCTCTTGTTTGCATATCTAATACACCACCAGATTTGTTTATACGACAATCGTCGCTAGGACATTGTCGCAGTGGTATGTATTTAAGCGATTGAACCTACAAATGTTTATTTTAGTAAATTTTTATTCTACCCTGTACATTCAATCATTATAAATCACTTACTGGTTGGAATGTTTCAGCACCACATTGATCACAAGTATATGTAGCAACAACAAGTAGTGGCATTACATCACTGCTTCTTGTTACTATACCTCGCACTGTAACTAATTTTCCTATTTTATCAGCTTTAATATCTCTCACTGAATATGCTTTTGTAGTATCAAAATCTTTAAAATACACTTCACTGAAACATACATTGTATACTTTGTTCAAATAACATATA